TGATGCGCCCTTGCCCTTGCCATGGTTTGTTAATGGCATCTCGCAGCTCGGTTGTCGTGGGTCTGTTATCAGCAAACAATCTGCCCAGGAGAGTCCTTGATTGCCGGATCCTGGCCGACTGGACCTCATCGAGGGAGAAGCGAACGATCTGATCATTCTTGAAGCTAGTCATATTGTTGACCTGAAATATAGTCACCATATCATTATTACATTCCAACACCACAGACCCACAATCAATAATGGACCACGGGAAGCAGGAAACAGTAATTTTAATCCTGTGGACAGGGCCTCTCTGCTGCCAAATGAGAAAGAAAAGGTCCGAGAGGGAAAGATCCCACATACCCGAATATCTTTCTTGATTCCGCAGGTTGGATTGCCTTTGTGTCTCTGCCAGTTGCCTTCCCCGATGATCAGTAGAGAGGACTACTGAATGGCAGGCACTATAAAAAGGTTCGGCAGAGCCAACATAACCCTTCAGGACTTGTTGTTTTACTTGAATTGGGACTCTAGGATGATGTTGTTGGATAATATCCAGTTTCCCCGACCGTTGCAAGACGGTTAGAGTAGGGAAATTCACAAAATCCTTGCGTTTGTTTCGGGATTGGGGTTACAAAATCCTTGCGTTATTAATCATCGCTTTTCTTAATAATTATAATAATTTTTTGGAGTTTGCTACGGTAACATGCATGTCACGGTGACATGCAATTTTCGGTCGACCTCATATAGGATTAGGTCGACCTAATCTGTTGTTTCAGTGTAAAAACAGTTTCATGGTGCCTACTTTGGAGATTCATATCTTACAATTGGCTAGATGGAAATTGGAGATTAAAGGCTTGTTTTGAAGCTGAAGTGTCCCTCTACACATTAAAGTACTTGGGAACTAAATAGAAAGTCCAAAAGACCATTTGTGAACCTGGCCAAAAGGCTATGCCAAAACTGGGAAACTGCCTGAAAATGGCTAAGTTTGGTAACGTGTTTGTCAAGCCTACTTTGGAGCTCAATTTGAGAAGCATGGATGCGAGTCAAGTCCAGGGGCCTCTACCACGTTAAATTACGTATTTTATTATACAAAGGTAAGGCATTGGATGAAAGATTGAATATCTTTAAGGCTTCAAACAAAAGGCTCGGAGTTGCTACAAATGTTGTTTTTCTGCCAGCTTGCTTGTGCTCGAAGTCAGCCAGAAAAACAGCCTTCGTAGCAACTTCGACCCTTTTGTTTGAAGCCTTACAAATATCCAATCTTTCATCCAATGCCTTGAATTTGTATAAAAACATACCTTATTTAATGTGGTAGAGGCTCCTGGACTTGACTTGCATTCATGCTTCTCGAATTGAGCTCCAAAATAGGCTTCACAAACACGTTTCCAGACTTGGCCATTTCTAGACAGTTTCCCAGTTTTGGCATAGCCTTTTGATGAGGTTCAAAATTGGTCTTCTGAACTTCTTATCGAGCTCTCTTCCACTTCAATATGTAGAGGGAAACTCCAGCTTCAAAACAAGTCATTAGTCATCAATTTCCATCTAGCCAATTGTATGATATGAATATCCAAAGTAGGCACCATGAACTGTTTTTACACTGAAACAACAGATTAGGTCGACCGAATCCTATATGAGGTCGACCGAATCCTAAATGAGGTCGACCGAATCCTAAATGAGGTAGACCAGATCCTATATGAGGTCGACCGAATTCAAAATGAGGTCGACCTAATCCTAACCCAGGTCGACCGGAAAGTGCAAGTCACCATGACATGCATGTCACCGTAGGCACACCCTAATTTTTTTAATAAGGATACATTAATAATGGTAACAAAACATGTTACTACCTTAAAATTAAAACGTTAACAATGATAACAAAATTATTACTAAAGAATCACACATTAGCAACGAAACATTAATAATAAAACGTTAATAGTGGTGAAAAAAATGTTGCTTACTTAACAATTAAACGTTAACAATGATAAGAAAAATGTTAATAGTGGTGTAAAAAAGTCACTAACTTAAAATTGAAAAACTATGAATTGGTAACAAAACTTTACTAACTAAAAATTAAAATGTCAATAATTATAACAAAAATGATACTAATGGAATACAGATTAGCAACAAAAATGTTAATAATAAAAATTTAATAGTGGTAAAAAAACTGTTAACTTACCAATTAAACATTAAAAATGGAAAAGATTAGCAACAAAAATGTTAATAATAAAAAGTTAATAGTGGTAAAAAAAGACTGTTAACTTACCAATTAAACATTAAAAATGGAAAGAAAAACGTTAACAATGGTAACAAAAATGCTACTTATGAAATACATATTAACAATGGACAGGAGTGACGTCGGATGAGGCTTCGTCGGACGTAGTGACGGACTACAAGAGACAGACGCAACATGCCGACGACGACAAGCGGCAGAAGCGGGTGAACTCGACAGCGGTTGTTGACTGAGAGAAGAAGCGACCAGTCTTTCAACAGAATAAAGACGGACAAACTACGGCCAGGACAAAAGATGACTGGAAAACGATAGGCCGTTGAAACTTGTTTGACGGAAATGGGAAGATAGTGGCGGATCTGTGGAGAGAGAACGTTTGGCTGGAAGTGGGAGAAGGGACAGGGCTCGACGACGACGGCTATGGAATCAGCGATGGTGGATTGGGACGATCACGGGAACGGGAGCTGGCAGCGACGGCGAGGTGTAAAACAGGAACGAGAGCAGAATCACCTGCCGGCGACGGTGAAGAACAGGCAGCGGCGGCGACAAAGGCAGTTGTTTTTTGCGTTGGTGAACTTGAACGACGACTACAGCGGGAGCTAGCTACCCTCGGCGGAGAACTCTTGCTGAGAATCGCCGGCCGGAGAAGGGACGACCGGGAGAGACCGTTCGCTTGCCGACGGGAGGAAGAAGAAACAGACAGCGGGACGGCTTGGACGTTTGCTGGAGGGAAAATAAAGAGACGTTTGCGTGGGTTAGGGTTGCAGTTTTTAATTGTTTTGTGGTCTCCTTAATACCCCTAACAACTATTTAACTAATAACTCCCCAATAACTACCTAAAATTGAGTAAGCCAATCAAAACACTTTAAGATTCTCCTTAAAAAAGAAGTCTTAAGGACCTGAACTCAGGCCACTTCACTCCCGACCAAAAACTCCTAAGCACCAAGTTCAACCAAATTTGTGTTAAATTAGGTTGGATACTCATGAGTTCGGGTTTTATTTTTAATCTCAACAAAAACTCAAACCCGACCTAACTCACCAATTTCTTAAGTTGGTAAAGCCTGCACTCGACCCAAAACTCGTCAATACAAATTTTACCCACTTTGATCGGGTCGGATTGGATAACTATAGGTTCGAAATTAACTCTTATTAATAATGAATTAAGATATAAAAGTAATTTAGAAAAATGTGAAAACAAATAAAAACAAAGATCTAATACTCGCTCCAGAACCAAAACCGTCAACACCAGATTCAACCCGCTTTGATTGAGTTGAATTAGGTTAGATAGCTATGATTTTCGATTCAATTGTTACTCTCGTTCAGAAAAAGTAGAAAAATAAATTAAAATGCATTAAGTTACAATTTTTTAATGAACTCCAATAACATACATACATAATCCATATTATTAGATTTATATCGTCATAAAGTCTAATAATATATTTGTTATAAATATATCTCAATAAAATGTAATCATTTTGTTTTTGGGTGCGGATCGGATTGAAATTGGGCCGAGTTATAACAGAACTCACACCCCGATCTAACCAGCCAATTACAAAGTGGGTAAAACTCACTCCCGACCCAAAATAGTTTGGCCAGTTGAATTATGTTGGATACTCATGAGTTCGGGTTCGCAAGCCGAGTTTAATAAAATCTACATCCTACCCAACCCTCCAATAACAGAAGCAGACAAAATTCGCCTCGACCTAAAACTTGTCAACACCAGGTTTAACCCATAAATTAGGTTGGATACCCATGAATTCAGGTTCAAGTGTCATTATTAACCAAAACTCAAACCCGACCACCAATTTTTAAAACTGGTAAACCCCCACACCCAACCCAAAACTTGTCAATACACATTTTACCAGCCTTGAGCCGATTGGATTGGTTTGGGTAACAATGGGTTTGTTTTCAATTGCTTTTCGTATGTGAATTAAGACATCAAAGTACTTAAAGAAAGAATGGAAAACCCAATAAAATCAAAGAGCCCTCAAAGTTTCCATCAGTTTCAATTAGCTCCCTCTTGATGTTACCCTAATGAATAGTGACTTGGAAACTCATTTTTATACTATAAAATAAAATAAACATTACAATAACTACAATTATAATTATTATCATAACTATATATATTACATATAACAAATAATAATATATTAAACACTTACAGATGTTGGATTTGTTTGAATGCCACTTAAAAAATTATACACTTTGTTTGGTTTCCCAATTTGACGCACCAACGTTTCAATTCCCTTATTATTAAGTCTGGTTCTCATCTTTCACAAGTTATTGTTTATAACATTAGTGTCTTGGCTAGATTTTGCACATGGAAATAAAGTAGACTTAAGCCTGTATTTTATCATATATATAATTCATGTATTGTTTTGTTACTCAATTTCCCTTCTTACTTCAAAAAATAGCCTAATTTTCTTTTTGCTTGATATATATTGCCGCCCAATTTCTTCTTTCCCGCTCCAAAAGGACACCCAAATTACGTTTAGATTGATCTATATTTGCGCTCAATTTTTGTTTGGGTTAATCTATATTGCCGCCCAAAAATGTTGAGATAGGAAAAAGTGTTTTTCTTCTTTTCATTTAGAGTGGTGTTTTGTTTTATGAATGTATGATTTGTTAATAGTGTCTATTAGTTGCAAATGTTGATACAACATTACTATTAACTAGTGTACTTTCTCAACTAATATTAATTACATGACAGGTTTGCAAGTCATATAAATTGATTCAACATTTTGACATGTTTTTTTTTTAATTGTTAAAGTATATATACGAGGTAGAAAGAAATTGTTTAAAAATTTTGAAACGTATTTTAAAATAATGTAATAAAATGTATAAGTTGGTAATGAGTAAGTAATTGCATGCGTTGACCAGAACAACCCGTAACTTGATCCGCCGACAACCCGCTTGACCCAAAACTCGATGAACTCGTAAACCGATTGAGCCCACCCGATGAACCCGCAACTCGATTGAACCCGAACCTGATGAACCACAACCTAATTGAACTCGAACTCGATAAACCACAACCCGATGAACTTGAAACCCAAGTCACCCGCAACCCAATTGAACCCATCCCGAGCCTGTCCGATTGAAACCTCTATTCTTACCTTTAATATATCATGAACATGTATTAAATAATGTATGGCATGCCAAGAAGTCATGTAGTAGCACATAAAATCGTTAAATGAGATAAAATTTCATCACACTTAACTTAATTAGTAACCCGGTCACACATGGAAATCACCGGGTGGGTTTTCTCATTTCTGTCGCTTAGATTGGGGACGTGCTTCCCCGGTCAGTCACTTGAATTCCCTGGCTGGATTTTTCACTCGAAACCAGACTTTTCTCATGTAAAAAATCTACAGTCTGACCCCTTAAATTTCCCGGCCGAATTTTTCACCCAGAAGCTAGGATTGTTGCCTCTCAAGATCACCATTTTGGTAATTTCTCCCTCAACTTTTGACCAAATTGATTGATTTTTGTTACTATTGAAACTAGATTCATAGGTCAACAACCTATCCAAATGTCAGACCATTTGAACCAGTGGTATGGGTTTGACACTCCATTCAAGTGGGAGGTTCAAAACAGATTCTTACTTCTTCTTTCACTACTACCTTCCTTTGATCCAATTCATTCTTAACTCATAAATATGCATATTTATCATACTAACATGACTAAAAATGATTAAAAACCACTCTTGTACATTAATCTCCCCCTTAACTTTCTTTTCCAATTGGTTCAAGAGGAAAAAGGAAGTGACGCTACCTTTGTTCCCTTAGAGACTATCTGTTTCGTACACTCCCTGTCCATCCGCATTTTTCAGCCAACCAAAGATCATGTCAACGATCCCCAATGATCAGACAGAGACCAAGTTAGGGAATACTTTAGGGTTTAATTTGGTCCTTGGGCTAATTTGGTCCTCACAGGCAAGCGACGAAAATGGGCCACTATAGCCCATTTAATGGATATCTCCTATCCAGCCTAGCCGAGCGGCCCATCGGGAATGTTCGGCAGCCAACACGGTAACCAAAGAGAAAAAGAAAGAAGGGCAGACGCAGGAGCAGAAAAGCGAACGGGAATCCAAACGAGAGCTCAGATCTGCATAACACAAATATTCACAGCACCAATCATGCCTACCGGCTTCGTGTTCTACTCTGGTATGTGCTCTGATTTCTATGGTTTTTGTACGAATCAAGTTAGCCCTTTGGTCGAAATTGATTTCTGTTTCTTTCCAGCTTTGTTCTTTATTTTCGCATTATAGGGTTTAGATTTCATTCTGATTGTGCTATCCATTCCCCAACCCGCCCTTCCCAGGATCGTTTTCCATTTCGTTTGATTCTGAGCGAGGATTTTCAAGCAACCCGACCCCTCCTAAACCACCAAGTCGGAACGGTAATCAAAGTCAATTCCTTTATCTTTTCTGGCTAGCTGGAATTCTCTCTCCGTCTTCCTTCTAAACACAACACTAATCCTACATGGCTTTGTGGTTGTTTGGCTTGCGGTGGTAGGTATGGTGGCTTCTGAAGAAACTGTCATGAATTATCTTACTGAATATGGAGTTAATAATATCAAAAGTGTTAAGCTTGTTGAGCCCAAATTCCCCAAGAACTCATATGCAAGGCAATGCAATAATCTGCTAGAGCTTTTTGCAGAGGTATGTTTGATTTCTTGCTTATATTTTTCTTTCAAAAAAAGTGCCTTGCTGACTGCATTTCGTAAACCGTATTGTATATGCAGCGTATGGTCGAGGAGAATGTATTTGGTGCTCAAAGCTACCGCGAGGCTCTGCTGAAGTATTGTGGAGTTGATATTGAGTACTAGTCATTTTAATTACTAATCATAATCATGTATTTATGCATTGCCCATCAAACGTGCTATATCCCCATAATAGAGCACCCGATGAATGTAATCTTTCGTGTTATATCAATGACGATGGTAAATATATTGTGTACAGCAATCGTAAAATGTGCCATCAATAGCAAAACATGAGAAGAAACATGTTCTTGCCACCTCTCTCAGTTGTTTCTTGACGGTCACTGCTACCCTTTGATATTTGCTTTAGATACAGTCAATACAGAAACGATAAACCCAGGAAAAGCTCCAGGATAATGGGTTGCAATTGAAACATGATGATCACATATTCACATCGACTATGTACTTCTTGTACGGCCACTTGGTCCCAACTCATATTGAGAAGATCTCCAATCCACACAGGCGTTTAAATTTGTCAATTGGTTTTGGATCTGATTATCCTTTCTAGTCATTCACAAGCATCAGCACTCGCGACTCTGCACATTGAACCTTCGTACTGCTGTTCAAGAGTTAGCTCCTCCATGAATTTCAAGTGATTTGGTCCTGTGTCGGGTTTCAGCAGTCATCTTGAATCAGCAAAGAAACTGAAAAGTCTACCACTGACTGACAATATTGACATGAAATGGAAAGTACTTGACAAAAGCATTATGCTTATCAATGTTAGAATGAATTTTTATTCTTTTCAGATTTAGCGAGAGAAAGATGGCCTACATCAGCAGTCTGTATTACCTACAAGAAATCAGGCTTCTCTTTTGAAGTTCAGTCTAGAGTTCAAAAATATAATGCCCTGTCACAAGGTTTTTCTTATATAAGGGTGAGGAGATATTATTAGGGTAAAGGAAAGAGAGAACAATGATTACAAGAATTTATATGAGTTGAAACAGAGGGATAAAAGAAGGTTAAGTACAGTCACTACCTAAGAGAAAATGAACAAAATCAGCCACCTCATTGGATTGACCTGATGCACAAAACAAAGGCAGCAACCTTTGCAAGGCAAAGTAGCAGGACAACACAATTCAACAGGCAGTTGGCAGCCACACGGGCACATTTCAGCAGCTTAAAATCTGCAGCAGCATCCCGAGACATTTCAATGGCTTTAAGAGTAAGGGCAAACCAGCTGCACTATGGACAGCCACTCTATTTCACAATGTCTGCTAATTAAGCCACCCGCAGAGACCCAATTCAGAAGCAGTTTACAAATTTTTTGGAAGATCATCTGCCAAGGCTTTGTCTCATAGCGAAAGCATCTTGCATTCCGCTCTTTCCATATTTCCCACGTGAAAGCATGATGGATACACTTTAAAAAACAACCTTTCCATGAAGCTTGATCTTGGTGAGGCCAGTTTTTAATAATGTTGTCAATGCTGCCCAGAAAAGGTCCTGTGACTTCAACCATGTTTAGCAGTAAGTACCAAATCTGACTGCTGTAACTGCCTGCCACAAGGTTAGAGTGTCATGAACATCACTGAGCACTGGATAAGAAATGAAGCTCATGCTAAGAGCACTAACTTGTTAGTCAAGTATCAACAATGCAACTCACAGGAACTTAGCGATGTATCGATGTCTGTGTATTCACGAGAATTTTTAGACCAGAAGAGCTGAGAGGATGCCAAAAGTTTCATACATCCATTTAGTCTTCCTTTTACCTTACTTCTCTATGTTCTATTTTTTATCCTGTGAAGAACATTGTCGGGGATCACAAGACCCTTTCATTCAATATGGGAATATAGCTCTTACTTGTTGGTGGAATAGGCTTCTTCGTTCTCTAATCTGCGAACCCCCATACCAATGTTTAACCGTATTGGCAGTTGGGGTTAAGTTCCTAACCTTCGTTTCTGCAATTGCTAACTAGCATGAAAATGTTCCTCAGTTGGCTTCCTCAGTATGCTGTAATAACAAAAGCAAGTAATATAGTTGTCAGGAGTTTAGCAGTGACAGATCTCATCTCATCTGCACCCAAACTTTGTGGTTTTGCCTTTATTAAATTTCAAGCAACTTAATTAAAAGAAATGGTAATGATAATAATTATAATCAACAAATAAATGAAACTAAGAATAAGTAAACCACTTATGAATGCAATTGTTTGATTCAACCCCTACTAGGTTCTCCTTTACACTCTTGATTAATCAGATTGCATAGGGTCAGAGCATATCAAATCTGGATTCTACAAGCACCCTAACTCAAGTAAATAAGTTCAGTATATGAGACAATCATCAATAATCACATAAGAATGCAAAACAAATGTCCAAGAAGGAAGTCATGTATCTGAAGGAGCTGAATATAACAACAACGACGACAACAACTAAGAGTTCTTTCCCAGCAACATAATATACTTGTGCTCAAGTCAATGCCTCAGGTTAAGCCTCCACAATCATTATTTGAACCCTACTGCTGCATCCACTAGTATCTATAGATGAAAGGGAATGAATCGTTCCCCTTTCTTTTTTGTCATCAAGCTAATCAATCATCTAGATTAAGAGACAAGATGTATAGATAATATATAAAATTATTCTTTAATTTAGATTAAGAAAGCTAGAAATATATATAATATAGCTAACATCAGTACATCACCCATCCCCATAGAATTCTCATCAAACTAATACTTTATCCTAACAAAACCTATATAAGCAGATCTGTTAATAACCTCAACATTCTCATACCACTAACCAAATTTATTCACATTCAACTAATCAACTACTCCCAAAGTCTCACCCACTAAACCCCTCCATTACCCCACATATGAGTCAAAATCTTGACCCCCTTAGCCACTCCCCACCCAATCAAACCAAATGGACCATAACCCTTGTTGTCACCTCCCTTCCCAGACCCGTTGTTATCATCTTCAGATTCAGAATCCGAGTTCCCGTTGCTCTCTTTGACAAGTTTCTCCATCTTGCTTTGAATATCAGTAAGCCGGGTGTTCATCTCCACAATCTGACTCTTTTCTTGGGCTTCCGCAATCCCTGCAGCCTCTAGAATGCCATTGAGGGTTTCCTCCATCCTGTGCTGAGAAGCAAATGTGGCGACGGAGGAAACCTTCAATAGGTTCTCCACGGTGGAAACAGTAGTATTGCCAGACGAGAGCAACTCAGAAAACATCGCACGAACCGTCATTGCATCATCTGTTGATTCACCTTTGAGGGGAGGTTTCCCGGTGATCGAGTGAACTTCTCCCGTCGCGTCCTCCACGTCAGATCTACTGAAAACAATTTGGACTGTGCCCTTAGGGAGGCTCAGAGAGCTGAGCACCTCAACCGTTGCACCGCTCCTCAGCAGAACTCGGCACGCCATACTGGCCGGGAAAAGGAATGGAGAAAGAAGAGAGGATCGCCAGAGAAGAAGATACAGAGAAATACAGAGAAGAGAGTCTTTTCTGTCTGAGAAGAAAAAACAGAGAAAAGAGCGGTTCTTAACTTCTTATAGCCAGGCTGGGCCTAGCAAGGGGGCCAATTCTCTAGTGCCGGGACGGTACCGGTGATTGCCGGTTTTCTTTAGCCTTTTGTTTTCGGGTTAATTGCATGGTTGGTCACTGACATTACAAAAAGCGTTCATGTTTGGTCACTAGAAAAATTTAAATCTAACTTTGGTCACTAACTTTACAAAAACGGTTCATTTATGGTCACTCTCCGTTAGCTGCCGTCCAACACCGTTAACGGAGTCCGTTAAGTGATGACGTGGCTGACGGATTCGCCTAATCAGCACCTTTTGACCCCAAATTTGACCGACCTGACCTGCCACGTCATTTAAACCCTCCATCTCAGCAAAACCTAACCAAACCACTAACCAAATCAGACCACACCCGACCCGACCCAACCCACCAACCCATCTATCTCATTTATGTGGCTTTGTGACCGCAAGAATCCTATCAGCTTCCAAAAACCTACAAACCTTCACATCTCTCTCTCTTTTCTTCTCATCCCCTTCTCCTCTGGTAATGGCGGCACCTTTCTGTCGTTGTGGATTGGCATCAGCTCTCAAGACGAGCTGGACAGAGGCGAATCCAGGGAGGAGGTTCTACGGGTGCAGCAAGTATGGGGTAAGATTTCTGACTTTTCTGCTTTGATTTCTCGACCGCCTCTCCTTCATCCCTCTCTGTTTTTGTGCTTGGATCTGTAGACAGATGGGGCATGTAATTTCTTCAGATGGCATGACCCAGTAGTTGACGAGCATATGAAGTTTGTGGTGCTGAACTTTCATCGTCGGATTCGAGAACTAGAGAAGAGGCAAAATGGGCAAGGGTCCAAAGCTAATGGCTGCCCAGTGTTCATCTTCATTGTGATTGCTCTTGTCTTTTCTTTCATCTGGATGGGATTGGGAATGTAAGAAGCTATTTCCTCAACCTTGCTGATGTAAACCTTTCTGCCGCTGTAGATTGAAACCCTAGAAAAATCAAATTTCACGTATTGTATCTGAAAGTTTATGTTGCACGATTGGTCACTCCAAAACATGTAAAGGTCCACGATTGGTCACTCCAAAACATGTAAAGGTCCACGTGTGGTCGCTCCAAAACATGTAAAGGTCCACATGTGGTCACTCAAAAACATGTAAAAAGGTAAATAATTATTATCTTAAATACATCACCATAAAAGAATTTAGCCTCAAATATACAAATTACAGTTCGGTACCTAAACTTAATAGATCTTTAGATTTATAACCTAAATTTATTTTTTTGGCACATACGTCCCCAAATATTGATTGAACATTATATTTTAGTATCTACAATTTTTGTGTATGACATTTTGGTGCCTAAACTTTTGAAGTTCTACAAATATGTCTAATTTTTGTATGTGTAATTAAAACACCCTCGAATAAATGGGTATCCATACCCAACTCATACACATTTAGGTTATGTTTATGTAAGTACATAATCATATCCTACCCAAACTCATCTACAAACTTTCAAACTCATATATACGTCACCCATACCCTACCCATAATCAATGGGTCTACTTGGGTTTAGGTAAATATCATTTATTAGCCAAAAATTAAAAAAAAAAATTAAGGTTTACCGCCATATATCTCTTCTCAGTTAATATCATATTGTGAAGTCAATATTACTAACAAAATTGCTAACAAAAAACTAATTTTAGACTAATAATACAAACAAACACCATAACGGATCACATAATACATGCATTGCCCATATACCATCTCCGCCGGCGACAAGGCGCGGTATCGCCACCTAGTATTATTTATGTTGTAAGTCAAGTAAAATTTATGAAAATAATGTAATTTAGTAAATTATGATTGATATTTTAATAGTTATATGAACACTTTAATAAATTAATTATAATTTATGAAAAATAATTATAATGGCGGTTGAGCCGTACACAAACATCTCTAATGTATAAATAGTAAATACTAAGCTACTAACTTCAATAAATATTTGTAGCACCATAATTGAATTAATTAAACCAACTTAACAATAGCAAAATAATTGAAGCCACGAACTTCGATAAATGTTTGTAGCACCATAATTGAACTAATTGAAACAACTCAACAATAGCAAAATAATTGAAAGTTCGAGGACATGATTTTGCTTTAGATCCTTTCCATAAAACCGGGTCAGATCAGGCCCTTAAGGCCTATTTTTTAAGTAAGATCTTAAACCCCTTCCAACCAATAGGAGAAGGAGAGAGAGTGATTAGTAATCATTGTGTAACTACCTGCCTAATACGTTCAAGGGTAAGACTGGAATATACTAAATAGTTAACAATATTATTAATTAAAAGGGAAATTGCGGAAACTGACAAAAACGCGGATTGGATTGTTTTCTCGTGCGTCGTTCTCCTCCCAACCCTAAAACCGCTTCTCTGCAAAACTCGCCGTCGTGCCTCGCTGGAGACGTGCCGTCGCGAGCCGCTTCTCTCCTGGTCTCCGCCGACTCGTTGACCTGCCGTAGTCGTCCGCCGTCTCGCCTCCACTCTGCCGTTAGCAACCGCACAAGGAACTCCTTGCCTTTTTGTCGTCGGCCGTTACCACTGCTCTGCTTCGTCGACGTCTCGTCCCGCCGGCATACTGAGTCCATGGAATTGCCGTTACCATTGCTCTACTTCGTCGGTGTCTCGTCCCGCCGACATACCGACTCCATGGAATTGCCAAAGCATGTTTTGTTTGATAATGTTATGTTAATAACGTAATTTTACGTACTTTACATTCTTACTATATTAGACCGTATTAACAACGTAAGTAAAAATGTTAATAATGTATGTAATTGAAGAAGAATCTCAGCAGTAGTTTGTTGACATTGTTATTAATAACTGGAAAAATATTATTAATAACAACGACATTAGTTGTTAATAATTATAGTATAAATGTTAATAATCCAGGTGGAAAAATTTCTTCAGTGTTTACCTGACCGTGTTATTAATAATTGAAGTAGAAATACATTGACGCGTTAATAATGAGACTAGAGGTAATTAATAATGGTGTCATTGTTTGTTAATAATTAAAGTTAATAGGTTAAAAATCATCTTTGCATGTAAAGCTTCAGCGTCTTTGAGGTTTAATAATTCGAAAAGGGATGATTAATGAAAATGACATTATTTGTTTTTTTTTTTTGACAAAAGATAATCATATATAGATTCAATAAAAAGAGTTACACCCTGGAAAGCAGTCAGGTCTGAAAGTCAAAGAAACGACTCATGGTAGGGTACAAAGAAAGGGCCTTCCTAGCCACCAAATGGGCTACCCTATTACTACGCCGACCTATGAACCGAATACTAAACCCCGAATAGATGCGAAAATAATGCACTAGCTCTGTCAGAACAGCACCCATCCGACTATCACTCTGGTCGCCTCTATTGATCTTCTCGATTATAACTTTGGCGTCCCCTTCAAACACCATGTCTGTGAAGCCTAACTCGACACACCAGACCACAGCCTCCCTGAGCGCAAGAAGCTCCACCACCTGTGGGTTATCAATGTCCGGGAACTGATACCCTCTAACCAGCTCGATCTCCCCAAACGGACGGACCAAGACCACTCCCCCGGCAGAATGGGACCCACTTTTCGTAGCTCCATCCCATCTACAGACCATCCGGGGAGGGCCACCCAGGGGCTGCTGCCCCGGGTCCGACTGGATCGGCCGCGCCACAGGCTCTTTAGGCAAACGAACCCATTCCTCATACTGCTGGACAAACTGGCGCATTAGCACTGGGATTCCAAATTGTTTCCCTTCGAAAACCACCCAATTCCGAGACCGCCAAATCCTCCAAAGAATGGCCACCACTGCCATAACCACCGTGGGTTGGTTAATCAGAGCAAAGAGCTTCTTAAGAAACAGAGGAAAAGTCTGGCGCGACAGTCCCTCCCCCAGGTAGGCCAAGCCCGAGCAATCCCATAGGGCCCGAGCGACCGGACAGTAAAGAAACAGATGTTCAAGTGTTTCGGAACCTTCCCAGCACACCGGGCAACGAGGGTGTACCTGGACCCTTCGCTCTAAGAGAGCCTCCGTAGTAGGGAGGATTCGAGAAAGGATCTGCCACACAAACACCTTCAGTTTGGGGGGGATATCCGCCTCCCAGAGACGAATCCAGCTTTTCTTATCCATCCAGCTCACAGTGGACCTCCAACCTTCCCTCCTCCTGTCCAATGTGACCGCGAGGTGATAAGCTGATTTGACCGTGAACACCCCATCCTCAGTCGCATGCCATATGAGCTTATCCTCAACATTCCTCCGCGGAAGGGGAATAGCTTTGATAGCTTTACACGTAGGGGGATCAAACCATTGGCTAAGTTTAACGTCACACAAGCGGCCCTCCCCAGCCCGAATAAGCTCTGCTACCTTCGAATCCCCTCCCTCTGGCAGCACTACCGGATTAGACTGGATGGGATCAAATTGATAATTAGGGATCCAATTGGATTTAAGCAAGGAAGCCAACTGGCCGTTCCCAATTTGCCAACGCAGCCCCTTTTCTAGCAACTGGCGGCCGAAGAGAATGCTCTGCCAACCCCAAGAAGGCCGAGAGCGGGTCGTAGCAGTAAGAAAGGTCCCAGTTGGGAAATATTTGCCTTTGTAGACCTGGGCAAGAAGGGACTGCGGATCAGTCATGATTTGCCAACCGATTTTGGCCAACAGAGCCTGATTAAATTGCTCGAATCTCCGAAACCCCAAACCCCCCTCCTGTTTACTCCGGCACATGTTCCGCCAGGAAACCCATCGAATCTTCGAATGATCCTCCGTCACCCCCCACCAAAATCTTGCCACATGTTTATCCAAGATACGGCAAAGAGACACCGGAAGTTTGAAGCAAGACATTACATGTAAGGGTAGCGCCATAGCAATGGAT